TTTATGATGGACATATAATGTGATTCGGTCAATTCACGTGCATTTTACGTGCAAAACATTAACCATTAGTATTTTTACGAAACCCTAAAGAAAAATTAAATGAAAACACTATTTAAGTTTGAGGTGCCATATGTTAACATAAAAATTTAAGTTTTGAATAAATATATCACGCGATTTTTGTTTTTGTGCTTTCATAATAATTTATATATTTTTTATTTTTCTATATTTAAAAGGCCCTAATTCCATGTTCGCTTTAGGCCTCCGGAAACATTGAGCCGCTCCGGGATGTGGTTATTGTCCCCAGGTGAGTCGTCGGTTGATTTCTGATGCCCCATTAGTCAAGAACCCTACCAAGCTATAGAATCATCTGGAAGACACAAAACTAGAGATAGTTACAATTCTGCTATAGATTAAGGTACGCTTTATTTTATACTCCATGTAGATCTTGTTTATTAGATGACACACATCCTTTTTGGATAATTATTGTACTTTAAAAGAAAAAAATAGATTTTTGACCCTTGCATTCGCAAGCGCATAGAAATTTCTTGACATCATTTTAATTAATTTTAAATTAATAGAACAAACAAAAGTTTAAAGAGTGTGTCACATAATTTTTCGGGACAAAGTTAGTTATTCAAAAAAATTTATTTACTAATTATATAGAAGATATCTATACATTAATAATTATAAGTGCATACAAAATTATTAAATGTCTGAAATCAAGATCCAAAAAAAAAAAACAAAAAGAAGGAATGAAAAAGAAAAGAAGAGGGAATTCGGAGGAACACAAAAAAAGGAATGTCATAAAGAAAAGAAAGAAATAACAAATAGAAATATTGGTTTCAAAATTTTGAACAAAAATTGGTGTTTTGTTAGGCTATGCAGGAGGACAACTCTTTAATCATTTTAAATTCATTATGGATGAATACTGAGTCCTTCAAGTTTTTCTAGTTCAATACTAATATGTGCACTGCACTCCTGACTATTCCGTAGATAATTGTGTGCAGAGAATGTTAATGTAGTTACACATAATTAGCTAAATACTTCAAAGAAAATAGTAGACACTCAGAATGAATATACAAAGACAGTCCCTGATGTTATATTTGTATGATGAAAAAGATATTTCTAAGTTAAATTCTTTTGTGACACTTCAAATTTCACCAATATTTGCTAAATAATGATTAAAAAAGGCACACCATTGGGAGGTCGCCTTCCATATTTGTCCATAAGAAAGTAGCTCTAGTTGTAGCTATCAGGCACCTAAAGCACAGCAGCATAGAGAACAATGAATTTTGCCGATAGCTTAAAGGCTCATTCAAATTAATACATTCTATTTTCGGACGGCAAAGAATCCCAGTCGCGCCATCAAACTCCGCCACTCGTGTTGGCATCCAACATCACCTTCGATGCTATTTAGTAATTGAATGTTGTAAGCAACCAGCGCAGAATTGTGATCGACCGATCGTGACCAAACAAAGAAACCCGTGTGATTGTGAATTGTTTATTTCATGGAATTCTTTCATTGGGTGTGAAATTTTTTATTTGTGATGCAATTATAGAATTTGAGTTAGATGGAACTATCTTCTCCTATGTGGTGATTTTTGGTTTCCCCCAAACGCGAACAGGAAGTCTTCAATTTTTGCCGCCATGCCGTCGCCCGATTACGAAGTTTTGTACCAACCAACTGAACACTTTTGTCATCTGCGACGCCTTTAAAGTCAAGAACTTCTTCGGTAGTTGCTAACCAATCAAGAAATTCCTGTAGGGAAGTAGAACCAGTAAATTAGTGAACCTCCGTACGCATACCGGCTTCCCAAGGACGACGGTCATCGTTACCCCGGTTTGGAGGAGGACGATTACCAGCCCCACGATTGGGAGGAGGCTTAGCACGATTGCGACGGGGAGGATCATTTGCCGCATCATCCGTAGTGGCGGAATCAGAATATGCAGAACCAGTACTCTTCCGAGACCGAGTGCGGCATTGTTCCGTGTTGTCAAGTCGACGCAACACCTCTTTAAAGGCCTGCCAAATTCCAAACGAATCTGATTGCCAAGCTGTTGAGCACCCTGCTGGAAGTGGTCTTGGATCTGAGACCGAAGAAATGCATCACCTTTGTTCATCTCCTGAATAAGAGTCTCTTCCAACTGACGTAGCAGGAACCGTATTCGTCGGAACAATTCAATCAACCCTAAAATTGAACTGAAATAGGGTTTAAAATCACAACCGTAACAATCCTAAAAACCGTTTAGTCTGAGAATGGCCGGAATTTAGAATCTTCTCAAGAACTGTTTAGTCTTAGAATACCCGGAACTCAAGGAATTGGCGCCTCAAAAATGAACCAATTAACACCATCCTTGATGAATGATTTTGTTTCTCACAGTGATATTGTGCCTCCGAAATTTCTTCCTCCTCCTACTTTCCCTTTTCATACTTCTTCACATTTAGATAATGGCTCTGTGACCTTCCTAGCTAACATGTCAAAAATTTTGGAGCTTACTTCTTTTGCTCAGGCTTATGCTCAACTAGAATGGGGGCAAGCAATGCAGGTGGAACTTGATGCCTTAGAAGCTAATGAAACTTGGGTTTTCACTGACCTTTCTCCTGGTAAGAAAGTTGTGGGCTACAAATGGGTTTATAAAGTTAAGTATAAACCTGATGGAATAGCGGATACATATAAAGCAAGGTTGATTGCCAAGGGTTACACTCATGTTAAGGGTCAAGATTACACAACCTCCTTCTCACCTCTTGCAAAACTTGGTACTGTGCAGTTAGTATTTACATTAGCAGCTCCAAATAATTGGTCAATCCAACAGTTGGATACTGATAATGCCTATTTGCATGGCTACATTAAGGAGACTGTTTTTATGAGGCTTCCTCCAGGTTACAGTAAGGCACAGGAAGATCATGTTTGCAGACTGAAAAGATGGGCTTAAACAAGCCTCTAGACAGTGGAATAAGGAGTTAACTCTTATGCTGCGATCGTATGGCTTCCAGCAATCTCCTTATGACCACTACCTGTTTGTCAAGAAGACTTCAAGATCCTTGTTGATTTTGTTAGTATATGTTGATGATGTTTTCATCACTAGAACCTCACTTTCATTTATTCAAGAGGTAAAAGAGTTTCTTCATCAGGCCTTCACCATCAACGACTTGGGAAGTGCTAAATATTTTCTTGGTGTTGAAATCACAAGATCTTCAACCGGCATTGCTCTTCATCAACGCAAGTATGCACGGATCTAGTTGACAGTGCATGGCTTCTTGGGTATAAATGAGTCAGTACTCCATGAAGATTAGACACGCAGGATACCAACGGTCCTTTTCTCACTGATGCTGAGCCTTATAGAAGATTGGTTGGCAGGTTATTATATCTTGGATTCACTCGTCTGGGTCTTACACACAGTACGCAACAACTTAGTCAGTTTGTCAATTCTCCCAGGGAAATTCCATTGGCAAGCAGCTCTTCATGCAGTGTGCTATATTAAAGGCAGTCCGTCTTTGGGAGTTTTCTATTCCAGCTCAAATGATCTGTCTCTCTTAGTCTTTTGTGATGCAGATTAGAACAAGTCTAAGGTTTCCAGGTTTTCAGTTAGTGGCTACTCTGTTTTCCTTTGTAATTCTCTAGTTTCCTGGAAGACCAAGAAACAAACCAATGTGTCTCATTCATCTTGTGAAGCTAAATATCGCAGTATGGCTTCAGTTGCTTGTGAAGTTCAATGGATTAGTTATATTTTGGCTGATTTGTATCTTCCTGTTCAGCTTCCGATTTCTTTTGCTTGGACAATCAATCGGCTATTCATATTGCTGAAAATCCCACGTTTCATGAACGTACCAAGCATCTTGACATCGATTGTCACTTGGTACGCAACCTTTATAAATCTCGTTTTCATTAGCTGTATCCTCTTTCCTCTCATGTTCAACCAGCTGATCTCTTCACCAAAGCCCTGTTAGCTCCACAATTTCTTTTTTTGTTGTCCAAGCTTCACCTTTATGATGTCCATCATCCCAAGGAAAAGTTGGAGGGGGGATATCAGAAATAAAAGCTTCCTTGCAACCCGTTGATGGTGAAACAGCACCTGAACTTGATGATCAAGATGGAGACGTGGATTTAGAAGAAGAAGTTATGAAGACGATTCTTGACATTGGTTGACTTATGTGTTGTGCATTAAAGTGTAGTACATCATGTTGTTTTACTTGTACTCTTTTTAGTCCGTTTATGGCTGAGCTGGCAGCTTGATGACGCAACTTTCTTGTACATATATTCGGAACATGAACTTGAATCAATTGAGCTCTCTGATATACGTTTTTCTTCACCTTCAGGTTGTGTTTTCCTTCTTGCTGAAACCCTAGCCATGCTTCTGTAATTCTTCATTATCTTTCACTATATATACTCTAAACTTTCTAGAATAACAATGGTGTGATTCAACCTTTGAAGATGGCAAAGCGAGCAGACGTAGTCGGTGGTCCTAACGATGGCTTTCTAATATGATGTCTATTTTGATATCTTTGACGCTTTAGGAAAATATAAAAATTTTAAAATACATATCGTTAAATAATGTCAAGGTATCTTGTATCCATTTGTTCACAACATTAGACGTACATTAAAATTTGTAATTGTGTTTAAGATAGCGAATCAATGTATGATGAGTTATACCGATAGTAAATATGATAATGGCAAATTTTAAATTTTAACCACCTTATTTAAGATTTCTTGCATTTTCAAAATTTCTTTAAAAGAAGATAAGAGTACATGCTTTCTTGTTACTAAATATTCCAGTGGATTTTGCAATGGTATAGAATACCCAACATATGTATCATTTTCATATTTAATATGATGGCTACTTTTGATTTTCCTTGTACATACAGATTGCACTAAAGGTACTCCCCCAACCACCATTAACGGTTGTTGGGGGAGCCATCTCTTTTTAAAATTTTAGTCTTTTTCCTCTTTTTTTCCTAATGGAATAGGCCGATCGATGCCATTTCCCACAAAAATCTGGCCTTAGGTGCCGGTACTCTTCCAATAATCATCGGTTTTAGACGCTGCTGCCTTCTCCTCAGACGAGTGCTTGGTGTTTGCCACCTTAGTACCGGCTAAACCACCCTTGTTGACGGGTCCAGATTTGAAGCTTTTGGCTTCAGATTTGAATTGCTGGTCGGAGGGGTTGTCTGCCACTCCGGAGAGCGAACAGATCTGGCGGCGAATCTCAAATCTCTTAGAACCAGATCCGAAGGACAAACAGATCTGGCTCACACTCACGCGCAGGTAATCGGAAGAAGAATCAGCAATCGCTCGGCCAGCCGTAGAAACCCCAGCTTTCTTGACTGCTGCAGGTCTTCCTTTCAAGATCTTAACGGCCGGCGAAAGCTTGAGCCCTTGCAGAAACTTCGACTGATATACCAGAACAAGAGCTCAGAATTTGCTTGTTGTTTCTGGATTGCCGTTGTCCGGTTCACTCCTTCACAGCCGCTCCTCGGCAACAATAGCAAAGCCGACTCTTCACCTCTGCTCAATTCAAACAGGTTTTTTTCAAAACCGGGTCTATTTCAAAAACTGGGTATTAGATCCTCCGGTCCATTTATCCGGTCGTACTAGTCACAAACAAACCAAATCGGGTCATTCTTACTTATATTATGTTTTGTTGCTGTTGACTCACTTGCAGGAACAACTTGGATGTGGTAATTTCAAATTTTCTCTATATTTCTCGCTGTTCGGGATTCTCAATATGCCCACCAAATGCGGCGAGTCCATGAGCAATGATCCAAAAAGATGCGAATCACATTGATGAGGAAAATGATAGTTGTCCTCCATTGCGTTAATGTAGTTTTTGTCTATGCCAAGTATATTACTAACTATGTAATTCCCGATGAGGTTTACTTTGGAAAATATTAGTTTTAACTGATATTTAAAACACCATCATAGGATGATGGTTTCTCAATTGTACAGAGTAAATCTTAAGCACTACCCTGAAAATATTTTGCTTTTTAAGGAATTACCCAAGTACATCCTAGTTTAATATTTTTTTTAAATTGTACTAAAAGTAAAACATTCGAAGAATCCACTCATTTAATTTTAGATGGAACTATGAAAGGAGTCTATTCTTATAACACTTACCTGTGGTAGCAAAAAAGAAAAAAAAAAAAACCCCTCCATACCCCGACATAGGCAACATCTTAATATATGTGCAAATCCTAATACGGCAAGTGCAGAACTGAAATCAATTAAACAACTTCGTGAACCAACTAGCTTATTGAGCTAAGTTGTGTATTTAGTAAATAGTTGGTTGGGAGATAACTCTAGTACTCCATTAATTCAATTGAATTACTGTATTGAATAAATTTTAGTTGGTTGTTGGCCTGTCGAAAAGAGACAATAAATTCACTATCAATTAAATTTCCTGTAGGTAGAGACTATATTGGCATGGCCTTAGAGAAACATTAAACTAACAAAGTTACTGCAATCGCTTACTTAGTCATTTTTCGTCCGAAGAATTCAAAATATCATCCTTTGCTAAATTAATGTTGCTTCGGGAAAAAAAAAATTTCATGTAGTCATCATAAATTTTTTAGCGACCTTAACAACTACCCAACATTGATTGATGTCTAACTATTTGGTTCTATATATACGGTCAAGCCTTTCATTTCTCCAGAACACATCACATTTGCATGCTCTTCAGTACACTTAGGTCTGTTTACTATAGTACTCCCTCCATTCCAAAATAAGTGTCGTCCTACACTTTGCACATAGTTTAAGAAATTCTTAAATAGGGTAATAAAATTACTTAAATATCCTCAACCAATCCCGTTATAAAATTGTCCAGTAATATCATCCACTCTTTTGAGGGTAATTTTGAAAACTTTTGACAAAAATTGCATTGAAATGTGAGAACGACACTTATTTTGGAATTTCTCTATTTTGCTAAAACGACACTTATTTTGGAATGGAGAGAGTACTTATATTACCAGTGCAAAAAAGCCCTATTGTTTTGCGTTCCATACATTATTCGAGCTCATTTGTTCAGGGTTTTCGCTATCCAGTAATGGTTTTCCTTTTAGTTCGGCTAAAGATGCAGCAAAAGATGAGAGACATTAAAACAACTAACTGAAACTATTTCCGAACTTCTAAGCTTAACTTCTAAGCCTCTTTGAGATTTTCAGTCCTGCGTTTTCTATACTCAACTATTAAAACCGGGTTAATCTCGAAAGGATTAAATAGTTCGCCGTTTTATTATTATTATTTTTACTTTGTCAACAGAATAAGTTTTCGGCACATATGTTTCTTTTATAGTGATTTGTGTGTGTTTCTGAGCTTATTTGTTGTAGATTATTCCCACTAACGTTATACAAGAGATACACATTTGTCAAGTAGAAAGAAATTAATTGTTAGAGTTTGCAAATAATGTGTATCGTTTTATACAGAGTGGTACGTGATGAGATCAGAGACACAAGCTTTATTTTCTATTACAGAAAGTTCAATTTTGTATTTCCTTGAAATTTAACTTCAAAACAAAATTATTAATATTGATGATTGTATGAAGGGAATCATTTTACTGATAAACATTGGATCAGCTGTTGTGTAATTCACGACATTTTCCCATTTTGTCTTAATAGAAAAAAACAGAAAAACAAATCATGAAGTGCGATATCTAGTCATCGAAACTGCAGATGACATATGTATCAAACGATATGTTCTTTCCCTTTCCTGCCGAAATAACTTTTATGTTAACTTCCAAAAAACAGTGTTGATATAATTGAGTAAAAAAAAAAGCCTTGGATTAACAAATTAATTATCTTTTCCTTGACATTACGAATCGGAACAATAATCCATTTATCAAAGTTCAATTAGGAAATGAGTCATAAATGATGATAGTACATAAGATGAAGGCAATCTGTGCATATAGCCAACTGATACTAATTAAAAGTTCCAATGCACTAATTAAGCATAAAATGACCACTACACAAGTTATCGTTATAGGTGATTGACATAATGAAGAAATGTCGTTCTAAGAAAATCAATACAATCTTGGCATAATGAAGAAACAACAAAAGGATAAATTGATAAGGATTGTATAATTCAGTCAAAGTTGAGCAAAATTCAAAAAGAAAGGGAAAATCTCCGCGCCATATTCACAAACCTATGCAGTACAAACCTTCACAAAAGTAGGGCTTAGTATCTTTTTCTTTTCGTAGATTTCAGTAGCAATTAATGACATTGTGTGATTATTGGGAAAGAAAATTAAATCTGACGAATTCTTCAGGACTATTAATTGATATACCAGTTCAAAAACTCCTGACATGGAACAGATGGTTACGTACTAGCAAAGTAGTAAATTAAGCATTCAAATATTCATTACTCAATAATTTTGGCTGAGTCAGTCTCTCTCGAAAGAGATATACTTGAGTCGTATTCGAATAAATTCGGACCCTGATTTTGAACAGAGCAAAAGCAAATTTGGCGGATACGCATTCTTGCTGTGTCCATTAACCTCAAATTGGTTGGTGCTCCTCTATATAGATCAGTAAGTGAATCGAAAATTTAATGAACTAAGTTAAACATTGCCGACTATTTCGATCAAATAGTTCGATCATGTGATGATTTCTTAAATAGCCTGATGTTTTCGGTTTGCTGTATTTTTGTGGCTTACTTATTCGCCTCCGAAACAATTTTTATAACTATAGTCTAAACTAGTCCTTTTATATATGGTAATTATATAATGGATTAACCCCATTTGAGTTTTTATCATGTTTTTACTGTAAATTTTCCTTTTTAATAACATGTAATACACAACACAAAATTGACTCGATAACTCAAAACAACAGTGTGTCACAAGATTAGCTCATAATCATTCAAACTAAATAAGTTCTTTCATAACCGCGATCATGCAAGAGAGCAAGACTACTGATTTCTCTGTATACAACAAAATTTGTGGTGGGTAGATCAATGATCAATCCTATTAAGTGTACACTAATCTCAAAGCAAATTTCACGGGGCAACTCCCAATTCTTTTCCTTTTTCAGCATCGGATTTGAGTTATATTTTTGGATCGTCTTTATTCGATGGTTTCCTGAACGTGACATAAGAAAAAGCACAAATTGGAATCGAAAGGATTCCAAAAGTTAGTGTCCCATTAATAGTTGTCTGACCAGCATTAAGTTTCATAGATTAATTCGACTGCATGTATCATTTTCTTGAAAGTGACATTTACGTAGTTATTCTTGTGTTGGCTTTCACTTTCACAAGTCTTCTTGAAGAATGGTTTTCTTGTTCATTTGATTAATCATATTCTCTTGCATATGATTTGAAAATATTTGCTATAACATTAATAAAGGAAGCACACAAATTTACGTGAAAATCCAAATCGGAAAAAACAACCAAAGCGTAACAACAGCCAAATCTTTACTATCACAATAATGGGAAATAATTTTGACAAACCGGTGAATACGCAGCACTTCACCTAAAGGTGGATTAAAATAATACTCTTCTACACACACCTATCACAAAGTAGGACTGGAAGGATCTCACCAAAAGAGAATTAAACCGAAAACTAAACCCTAACTTTCTTTCTTGTTCACAAAACCTATGCACGGCTGCCCTTGCTTTGTTTCTCTCTCTCAGCTGAACTCACGAATCAAAAAAAACCAAAGCACCATGGCTTTTATAAGGCACGACCAAACCCAAAACCAAAACAAAGTGGGTTTTGCTCTTTCGGTCAAGCACCACTTATGTGGTCAAATCCGGTTGGGTCCTTATTTGAGGGGAATCAGGCCCAACAATCTCCCCCTTCACCTCAAATGGGGGGTAAAACCAAACCCGCTTCCTGTCTACAGAATAGGAGTTTGTCTCTACTCACAGTCTTCGTCAACATACCGGTACCATTGTCATCCGTATGGATCTTCTCAAGAAACAACGCTTTGGACTACAACACATCCCGAATCCAATGATATCTCACATCAATATGTTTAGACCGTGAACAAAATGTGGAATTTTTCGCCAAGTGAATAGCGCTCTGGCTATCACAGTAAACCATATACGTCACTTGCTTCATGCCAAGCTCTTGTAGAAACTTCTGTAACCAAAGTGCTTCCTTACAAGATTCAGTAGATGCGATAAACTTTGCCTCTGTAGTAGACAAAGCAACACACTTCTGCAACCTACTCTGCCGTAAAACTGCTCCCCCTCTATAAGTCATCAAGTGTCCAGAAGTAGACTTCCGACCATCAAGGTCACCCGCCATGTCAGCATCTGTATATACATCCAACATGGTCTTCCCATTGCCAAAGCAAAGACTCAATCTGGAAGCACCCCTAAGATACCTGAGAATCCATTTCACAGTATTCCAATGCTCCTTACCAGGATTGGGGAGAAACCGACTAACAACACCAACTGCATGAGCTATGTCTGGCCTTCTGCAAACCATCGCATACATCAGGCTGCCAACTGTTGAAGCATAAGGAACATTTTTCATCTCTTCCTTATCTTTCTCACTTTTAGGACACTGTGTTTTGTTTTGCTTAAAATGCCCTGCAAGTGGAGTCGAGACTTCCTTAGCACCGCTCATGTTAAACCTATCAAGAACCCAAAGCTTCCCATTCTGTCTGTCACCAGAAATCTTCATCCCAAGGATCTGTCTAGCCGGACCCAAATCCTTCATCGCAAAGGACTTATTCAACTCCTTTTTCAACCTGGCAATCTTTGCAGTATCATTACCAACAATCAACATGTCATCGACATAAAGCAAAAGAATTATAAAATCACCATCGGAGAATTTCTTCACAAACACACAGTGATCGGCTGTAGTCCTTTGGTATCTT